AGGTGCAGTTGCTCACTCCTGTAATCCCAACACTTTGGGAGACCGAGGAGAGAGGAACACTTGAAGTCAGAAATTCGAGACCAGCTTGGCCAACATGGCAAAACCCCGTCTTTACTAGAAACACAAAAATTAGCCAGGCATGGTGGTGAGTATCTGTAAGCCCAGCTACTTGGGAGGCTGAGGCAGAAGAATCACTGGAACCTGGGAGGCAGAGGTTGCAGTTAGCTGGGATGGTGCCCTGCACTCCAGCCTGGGCGACAGGTTGAGACTTCATGTCAAAAAAAAAAAGCAACTCTTCCCAAAATCATATACATATTCCAAGAATTCTCAGTCAAAATCTGGGAATGCATTTTTCTTTTTTTTATTATTATTTTTTAGAGATGGGGTGTCACTCTGTGGCCCAGGCTGGAGTGCAAGCGGCATGATCACGGTTGACTGAAGCCTCAGACTTCTGGGCTCAAGCAATCCTCCCACCTCAGCCTCCTGAGTAGCTAGGATACAGGTGTGCACCACCACACTTGGATAATTTTATTTTACTTTTTTTTTACAAAGTGAGTCTTGCTATGTTGCCGACGCTGGTCTCAAACTCCTGGCCTCAAGTGATCCTCCTGCCTCAACTTCCCAAAGTGCTAGGATTACCAGTGTGAGCCACTGCATCCAGCCTGGGCATGCATTTTTTACAAACTGACAAACTCATCCTAAAATTCAGATGGAAATGCAAAGAACCTGCAACAAATAAAACAACTTTAAGAATGAGAAAGGTTGGGAAGCTTACAATACAGACTTTATTACATAATATAAAGTTGTAATGATCAAGACTGTGTGGTACTCACATAGAAATCAATGGAAGAGAAATAGTGTCCCAGAAACAGACTTATACCTCTACAGTCAATTAATTTTAGACAAACTAATTCTATAAATAAAAGAGTCTTTCCAACAAATGATGCTGGAACAACTGTATACCCATATGAGAGCGATGTGGATGACCTCAAGCCTTCATGCCATACATAAAAATTAACAGAAAATGGATAAAAGGCCTGAAACTATAAAGTCTCTACAGGAAAACATAAAGAACATCTTCACAACCTTGGGGTAGGTAAAAGTTCCTTACATAGGACACAAAAAAAGCAAAAATAATAAAATATTAATATGACTTCATCAAAATGTAAAATTTCAGTTCTTCAAAAGACATTCAGTTTAAAATAAAAAGGCAAGCCACTGTCAGGAAGAAACTATTTGAAATATGTGTATCTGACAAAAGAAAATGCATTCAGAAAACATAAAGAACTCCTGCAACTCAGTAAGACAAACAAAAAGTGGACAAAAATTTTAGATAGACATTTTATAAAGAAGAAATATGAATGATTAATAAGCACAAGAAAAAAATGCTCAAAATCATTACTCAATGTGAAATACAAATTGACACTGCAATGAGATACAGCTACACACCCCTAAGAATAGCTACAATTTAAAAGACTGACAATACTAAATACAATTTAAAAGGCTGGCAAAGATGAGGAGAAATTGGGACACACATATACTGCTGGAGGGAAAATAAAGTGGTCAAGCACTGTGGAAAACAGTTTGGCAGTTTCTACTTACCATACCACACAGCAATTCCATTTCCTGTTATCAGCCCAAAAGAAATGAAAATCTATGTACACAGAAAGACATAGGAGCTTTAACCACACTAACCAAAAACAGGAACAACTCAAATTTCCAACAGATCTAATAAATTATGGTACATCCATACAAAGGAATAACATTCAGCAATAAAAAGATTAACAAATGACATACAACATGGATGGATCTCAAAAGCATTGTTACACGAAGAAAGCTTTTACATAAAAGAAGCGTATGATTCCAGTTACTATATATCTAATCTACAATGACAGAAAGCACATCAGTGGTTGCCTGAGGCTGAGGGTGGGAAAGATTAGCTGCAAGGACACGATGGAACTTTTAAGAGTGAGGGATCTTAATTTTGGTGGTGGTTATTCATGTGTATAAATTTGTCAAAGCTCATCAAAATGTACTATTAAATGGGTGCATTTTACTGTATGCTAACTATCTCAATAAAGTTGATTTTGAAAAGAACTCTGAAAGTAGACTCCAAAGTTTCACATGCTCAGGGGCCTACTTGCCTTTCATCATCAACTACTGTGCTTCCCAGTCTTTCCGGTTGTCTGGGCATTTATGCTTGGTGTTTCCCATTTACACCTAATTAATGTCTACTCTGTTAGACCTCGAGTCAAGGTGAGAGGTGAGGCCGGCTGGGCTTCTGGGTCCAGTGGGAAGTTGGAGAACTTTTCTGTCTAGCTAAAGGAGTGTAAATGCACCAATCAGCAATCTGTGTCTAGCTAAAGGTTTGTGAACGCACCAATCAGCACTCTGTAAAAACGCATCAATCAGCGCTCTGTCTAGCTAAAGGTTTGTAAACACACCAATCAGCACTCTGTAAAAACATACCAATCAGTGCTCTGTGTCTAGCTAAAGGCTTGTAAATGCACCAATCAGCACTCTGTAAAAACAGACCAATCAGCACTCCATAAAATGGACCAATCAGCAGGATGTGGGCAGGGACAAATAAGAGAATAAAAGCTGGCCACTCGAGCCAGGAGCGGCCACCGGCTCAGGTACCCTTCCATGCAGGAGCTTTGTTCTTTTGTTCTTTGCAGTAGGGAAGTCTTGCTGCTGCTCACTCTTTGGGTTCACACTACCTTTATGAGCTGTAACATTCACTGTGAAGGTCTGCAGCTTCACTCCTAAAGCCAGAGAGACCACAAACCCACAAGGCGGTACAAACAACTCCAGATGCGCCACCTTTAAGAGCTGTAACACTCACTGCAAAGCTCCGCGGCTTCACTCCTGAAGTAAGTGATACCACGAACCCACTGGAAGGAACAAACTCCGGACACATCTGAATATCTGAAGGAACAAACTCCGGACACACCATCTTTAAGAACTGTAACACTCACCGCAAGGGTCCGCAGCTTCATTCTTGAAGTCAGCGAGACCAAGAACTCACCAGAAGGAACAAATTGCGGGCACAAAAGGACTCTCTCTAGTTTACTTTCCCAGCTTCTAGTTTCTGTCCTCTTGTTAAGTGCTCTCCTTGCTCCCAGTAAATGGACAATGAATGAAATGAAATGCCATTTGGCCCTGAGAGGACACTAAACAGGAACAAAGCAGACTTTCATACATCCCCACTGCCCACACATAAAGTCCTGCTATATTTAAGAGAAGAAAGCTGCCAAGAAAAAACAGTTTGGGAACAGGGCATCTCATCTACTTTGGTGTTGCCCCGAGTCTGGTCTAATCCTGTCTGGGTGCAGGACAAGTTCTGGTTTCATTCAGTAAGTCCAACACTCTCAGAATGAAAGAAAAAGTTCTAGGTGTCTAAATCACTTAGAACTGAAATCAATGCATTCTCTCTCTTTCTTTAAAGTAGTAATGGCCTAGACCCAGATTTTCAAAGGTTACTTTGAATTGCATTAGGTAATCACCTAATTCATTCTTTCTACTAAGGTTGTATAGTGTAGACCAACAACTCCAGATTACCATCAACCACCCCAAACCAACCCACTCTTTGGAGTTGTAGAAAGATGCTAGTATGGCCTTACAGCAGCATACTCTGGTTTAAGGTAAGGAGTTGTAGTCTCAGGTCTTGCAATAATTACATGAATTTTAACAATTACTTTAACTTCTCTCTCTCTCTCTCTGGAGACAGACAGACAGTCAAAAGTACTAGAACTGGGAAAAACCTAACTTTTTCTCAGATCTCTAGGAAGTATAATTTACATTATAATGTATAATTTATCATCATTAGAAGAATGACAACTTTCTATACAGTTCCAGCTCCTTTATTCACGATTATGCAACTATGAATAATTCTTTGGCTCAAAATGAAGAATTATTGGATAGTCATAACAACTAAGCTATTTTTTTGCAAAAGGAAGGACAGAAGGATGGGGAGGAAGGAAGACAGAGAAAAAAAATCTCATAATAAAATATTAAAAGATGCTTAGGAGACTGAAGTTTGAATATTGCTCATATTACAATATGCTATAAAAGCAGTTCACACAGTAACAAAAACTGAGTCAAATAACAGCCATAATAATTTTATGAAAGATTTTTTTTAAAACCACAAGAATTTCCAAGTACATAGTATACAAAGCCAAAATGATCCATGGCAAGTTTTTAAAATACGAAAATGGGTAAGAGGCTTCTATATTTGTTCCCTGTGCTGGTGCCTGCTTTTATCACACAGCAGTTCACATATTATAGTATATGAAGCAGCAAGCATTTTAAAACTTGGGAGAATGGAAGTTACTAACAAAAACAGCATATAAAAGATGTTCATTATTGTAACAGAGTATTTTTATCCTGATTTTTTAAAAACTCACAATAAGCATTCAAGCTATTTTTCATTATTATCTGCTTCCTTCGCTATAATACAAAAATTACATATTTTATCTACTAACACTGCCTAATTTAAGATTGTCATAGAAACCATAATTTTGTTCATTTAATATTAAAATAATTTTATAACCTCACTCTGAGTCAAACAAGATGTTCAGATAATATTGTCTATCTAATATTACAGGTAGAAATAACTATAGAAATTAGGTATTTCTTGGAAACATTTTCATTAAAATTTTATAAGCATATGATATTTCTGTGCACTGCCTTTCTGGCATTAAGTAATTGTTTATAAAGGGTAGATAAGTTGTTTTATATACAGAGTCAATATTTCTGTTAAGAAGGTTCATACATTACAGGTTTCTAGGGGAAAGTATATAATTATTAAACTAGCTGGGGTTTTTTGGCTAGTATTACCTAGATGTGAATTTTTCAAACACTCTGTTGGTTGACTTCAAATATCATTTGATTTATTTGAGGAATTGTATTGTTTTGCAACTTCAGGAATTATCTTGGCATTAAAAAAGTGTGGAAAGAAAAACGTATGTTACTATATGAAAGGAAAAAAAAGGTCCTACCTGTTTCAATCTCATGAAGAAAGTCTCTGTGAAAGTCTTTCTGCTGAAATACCAAAATCGCTCATTTGCAGGGTACACACGGACTACTGTCTCCAGGAGAAAGCGAACAGGCTCCACCACCTCTGTGACTACCATATCCACTGCCACAGTCATGTATACTCGCTTATCTGTAGTAGAAAGTTTCTGGGTTTTATGCTAGCTCTAGTATTCCTTGACTATTTTAAACAAAGTTTCCTCACTTTTGAAAGAATTAATGTTCTTTACAATTGTAATACCGTCTACGTTTATTTTTAAATGTTCTATTAACATTTTGATTAAATAAGTATGCAAGTATTCCAAGCATGTTTCTTAGGAACTAATAATCCTAAGTGTCTATTAATAAATTACCTGACAATTTTTCTTTTTTCATTCCCCAAATTAGGTCTTTAATATAAAAATAAATAGAATACAATAATAAAGCATATCTTTTACTCTAAAACTATCTGATTTCCCAGAGAACCTCTAGAAAATCACAGAGATTTATCCCTTCATCTTATAAAAAAAGATAATAGAAATTACTAGGTTTGTTTAATGAGTTGCACTGGAAGGACAGTCTAATCGAGAGAGACACTCAGCCTTCTCTATGTTAAACTTGTATACATAAAATGTGATTGAAAGCTGGGCGCAATGGTTTACAACTGTAAAAAACTTTGGGAAGCCAAAGCAGGCAGATTACTTGAGTCCAGGAGTTCAAGACCAGCCTGGGCAACATGGTGAAACCCCATCTCTACTAAAAATACAAAAAATTAGCTGGGCATGTTTGTGCGCACCTGTAGTCCCAGCTACTCAGGAAGCTGACGTGGGAGAATCGCCTAAGCTCAGGAGGTTGAGGCTATAGTGAGCCGTGATTGCACCACTGCACTCCAGTCTGGGCAACCAGAGTGAGACTCTGTCTCAAAAAACACATGTCACTGATATAAATACTTCCATGCTGTATGCTTCAAGAAAAGTCTCCAGAGATTTTTCAGTACCCTCATTGTTGTAATACATATTAACCCTCAGGAAAATCATTAATCAAAGTTCCAAAGAAATAGTCCTGTGTAGTTTTCATATATATATATATACACACACACATACACACACATATGAATATATATGTGTGTGTGTATAAATATATATACACATATATCAGAGTCCTGACAAGTGCTTTTAGACAACAACGATATGTGTTATCAGCCAAAATTCTAGTTATGATTTGAAATGTTTACTAGGCCACAGCCTTCCTTTAATTTGAATCTAGAATCATCTAGGCCAGTGTCTGTAGGTTTTCTTCAGTTTCACTATGAGGAGTTGAAACATGAATTTCATTTTACTTTATTTTATTTACTCTGCTTGATATTCATTGAGGTTTTTGTTGTTTGTTTTGAGAGGAGTCTCACTCTGTCACCCAGGCTGGAGTACAATGGAGCGATCTTGGCTCACTGCAACCTCTGCCTCCAGGGCTCAGGCAATTCTCCTGCCTCAGCCTCTCAAGTAGCTGGGATTACAGGCACCCGCCACAAGGCCCAGCTAATTTTCAAAATATTTTTGGTACAGACGGGGTTTCACCATGTTGGCCAGGCTGGTCTCAAACTCCTGACCTCAGGTGATCCACCCCCCTCAGCCTCCCAAAGTGCTGAGATTACAAGCGTGAGCCGCCACGCCTGGCCTCATTGAGGTTTTTGAATCTATGGCCTGGTCGTTCCATACTATTTTGTAATTTCCTCATTCCTTTTTAAATATTTTTTAAAATTTATTTTCGCTACAATTTTTAGTTCTCTGTTAAAGGAAAGTCCAAATAACCAAGGCCACCATTAGAGGAAACCCTCAATAGTGTTTTTAAATATTATATAACATTCAGATTCATCAGTTACTTCTCTATTTATATTAAATTCAATAACAATTTTATTACATTCTTACTAATTACAGTCTTACTAAATACACCTGCCAATTCAAGAGAAACTAAAATTTGTTAGACATTGTACTTGACCTGAAGGAACTTAGAGAAAAGAGTAAGAATAACACAAGACAGAATATAACACTCAACTGAATCTTAGTGCAGTGGAAAGATCCAAGACTTTTCATCTCTCAGGGCCTAAACGTCTTCCATAAATATCAAACTTTATTTGATCACAAATTTTCTGAGTAATGTGTAATTTCAAGGACATCATTTAGAAATTTTAAAAATCAGGGCAACATTTTTGTGTGCCATATGAGATCATTTTAAATTTAAAATGTATACTTTGGACCAGAATATTATTATAATATACTATCATATAGTTTATTTTAATAAATTATAAATAAATTTTCTTTTATTTGTGGACCAAATATATATTTTATTGCAAAATGAAACTAAACTAGGTGTTACATTAAAAACACGAAAACTATTTTTATAACTTGATATGCAAAATTCTTCTATTTTGTACTTCAAAACTGTCAACTGGCTTATTTTTATCATTTTCGTGGCTTCCTTCTGAACAGGTATAAGAAAGAAGGTTACAGGTATTTGCAAGCCTATCTCCAGAAATAACAAATTGTGGATCTAAAAATTATTTACTGCTAATAAATGAAAAGTTAAATTTTATATAATCTTTTTTTTCTTTTTAGCCCTCATTTTTAGACAGCTTAATATATGATTAAATGCATGTGATTTATATAAATGGTGAATACTCTCTTTAAGGAAATGAAAGAATAATTATCATTTTAATGCCCTTCATAAACATATTATATTTTCATATCAGTATTCACGAATGCTTCCTGTCATTAAGCAAAAGTCTACTGTGGGTATAAACTAAATAATACAAAATTAATGATAAAACAAACTGATCCATTATATTGTAAATATGAATTAATGGTTTAACGACAGTAAAGCAGTTAGGGTAGGAATGTAACTTACCAGGTAAAACTTTAAATTTAGTTTAAAAGTAGATGATGAAGGGGCAAAAAACATAGGCAATTAACAGCTATCTGGATGAAGTAGGAACGAAAAAACACAATGGAAAAATGAAAAATGTGACTAACATTTATACATTCTGTTCAATACTAGACATGATAAATAATATGAAAATGTAAAAAACTAAGAAGAAACTATTTGCTACAACTGAAATATTTCATATATATTCTAGCATCCCAAAGGCCAAAAGACTGGCGCCAATAATTAATAAATGGAAAACTATAAGTAAACTATAATGCAAAAATAGTTAAAATAATAATTTTTAAATATTCAAAATTCCAAAATATTTCCTTTTCATCATTTTCTTTAATATTTCTCTATCACTAGTCTCCACAAATGAAACAACTCTATAGTGGTATATGAAAACCAAAGCCCAAATGCTTTCTCTATAATCTAATAAAATTAATTTAGGCCAGGTGCAGTGGCTCACATCTATAATCCCAGTGCTTTGGGAGGCAAGAAGATCAGTTGAGGCCAAAGGTTCAAGACAAGCCTGGGCAACAAAGCATGACAAAAATAAAATTTTAAAATTAGCCATGCATGGCAGCACACACCTGTAGTTCTATTTAATAGCTACTAAGGAGGCTGAGGTGGGAGGATTGCTTGAGCATGAGAGTTTGAGGTTACAGTGAGCTATAATGCCCCTATACTCTACCCTGGGCAACAGAGTGAGATCTTGTCTCTTAAAATAATAACAATAATAATCATTCACATATCTTTTGGGGAGGATTTTTTTAAATAGTGGAGATTTCCCCCATAGAAGCATAAAGAACAAAAATGAACCTCAAATTCTCAATAGAAAGAATATGTTCACTTTAAGTGAGTTCCACATTTTTAAAAAAACATGACAAAACAACATTGATCATAATATAAAATGTAAAGCAAACAAAAGGGATCTTTTAAGAAAAGTCACCTTTTGGGGTTTCCTCATTAAGTGCCAGAAATATTGGTGCATTGGGGTTCCACATGCCAGTGATGACATAAGCTCTCCCATCATAGCTCTTTCCCATGGATTCCTATAAAAATTCAAACAGTAATTACTGATAAAAGATATCAAAAAAATCACTACTTTAAATTATATCTTACTTTAAGCAATACAATGTATTAAAATTTGGATTTGCAGTCAAGCAGGAGCTTTATATCCACTGTAAATTCTTTTCATCCTACAAAAGCATTTATTTAAATATTAAATTCTTCTACAGCTTTCTTCAAGCATGGTTTCTACTTAAAGACTTGTATCCTTGGGTAAAAGGAGGCATACACTTACATGCTGAATCACAAAAACATAATATTGTTACAAAGTTATATTTAACTTGATCTTGATGCCAACTGTCCAAATCTCATATACACATAGGATGTATATGGTTTCTATTAAAACAATAATATAGAATTAGCTGAAGACAGTTAAACTGAACTAGTAGCTAATCACAGTAGGGAAAGTTATTTTTCTTCTAATATTCTAATTTTTAATGAATTCTTAAAATATTAATTTTGTTTATAGCCATTAATACCTTTCAAATTAACACTTTTCTATTTTCTGTATGTCAGGTATTTGTATACTTTCTTACAATCATAAATTAGTATTAGGAGACTAATTTTGGTTTGTAAGCAACATCCAAGTGTATTAATTCTCTCCCTCTACTGTTACACTTACTCCCTCTTTCTTCCCTTCTCTCCTTCCTCTTCTCCTCCATTCTTTAAGACTTTACTAAGCCAGCTCTTGACTCTCACTAAAAAAGCCAGCAACTCCTATAAGCAAGGCTACTTATAGCTTGTGGATATGTATGTGGAGAGAGGGGTAGAGGTTGTTCCATGAAAGAACAACATACAGCATACAAGTATTTCCATATGCAAATGAACAGTATCTACAATACTTCAATTTTTGTAGCAATTTCCTCATATTATGAATAGAGACTGTTAAAAGGGTCAGACTAAAACAAAAAGAAAAACTTTCCTTTTTTCATTATTACCCATTCACAGATGTTTCTCTGAACCCCCTATAAAATTGTGTCAGTCATGTGGTAATTACTATGTATATTTTTCTAGTGTATTAGTAATACTTCACTAATCAGATTGTGTAGCTTGAGTGCAGGGATTGTGCATTCCAGAGATGAAATACACTCAAGGTCATTTGTAAACAAAACCCACTCACCAACACACTCATATGTTTACAGTCTCTTTCTCCACCTCTACAGACACACACACACACACACACACACACACAGAGGCATGTACACAGGCCCCTTTATGCCCATCTTACTCCCTAATTAGGCTCCATTTGGAACAGGACACACACACACACACACACACACACACACACACACACACACACACAGAGCATGTACACATTCACACACACACACACACACACACACACAGAGGCATGTACACAGGCCCCCATCCTCCATCTCTACTCCCTAATTAAGGCTCCGTTTGGAACAGGAACGGGTTTCTGACCCAAAAAGAATTCAATCCATTTCAAGATCAGAACTTGTGCTGTGCTTGAGTGCTCAAAATCTCTTTCAATCAACAAATACCAAAGAAAGTGGGCAGTCACCAGTGGAAGCTAAAAGGTTTTCATTAGGAGTCAGGCTATGATAGGCCATATATAAGACAAAGTTATAACAATTTTGAAGTAGGGAAAAAATATATAAAGTACAATGTATTAGAAAACTGTTAAGTGGTAAGAGAAATGGAGAAAACAAACATTAAAAAAAACCCTTAAAAATTATAAATTATACAGACAAAAAAACAAAAGCAGATACTGGGAGGCAGTAAGTGGGGGAGGGAGCAAGTGGAAGAGAAAATAGCAGAAATCATCGTACATGTAAAACTGTTTCATGAAACTTTTACTTTTGCTTTTTTGCACATACACCATACACATTATGAGTATGCTAGATTACAACATAAAATGTATTTTTAACTGTGGGTACAGCTACTGGTCTAGTGTTAATATATGGTTAATTGTAAAGATCCACAAACTTTCTGAGGAATCTCTAGGACTTTAATTTAAAATTTTAAATTATGTTCCAGTTCCAAGAAACCTGGTTCTACTGAGTTTTCTGCTTTTCTTGGTACCTTACTGTTAGGCTTTTCCCAGGAATCCCGGACTGTGAATCAAAAATTCTCATTTCTGGCTAGGTGCAGTGGCTCACACATGTAATTCCAGCATTTTGGGAGGCCAAGGCAGGCGGATCACCTGAGGTCAGGAGTTCGAGATCAGCCTGGCCAACATGGCGAAACCCTGTCTATACTAAAAATATAAAAATTAGCTGGATGTGGTGGCACACACCTGTAATCCCAGCTACTAGGGAGGATCAGGCAGGAGAATCACTTGAACCCAGGAGGCAGAGGTTGCAGTGAGCCGAGATTGAGCCACTGCACTCCAACCTGGGTGACAGAGCAAGACTATCTCAAACAAATAAAAAATAAAAAATAAAATTCTAATTTCCTTATTCCTACAAGTATCTTGACCAAATATATTCTCATTATTGGAAGAAAATGGAGTCTCTACTACTTGTACTCTCCCAAAAAAACTGTGTATGTACACACACACACACACACACACACACACACACACACAGTCACCTGTTGCTTAATGATAGGGATACATTCTGAGGTATGTGTCATTAAGTGATTTCTTTGTGCAAATTGAATATACTGTACTTATAAAAACCTAGATGGTATAGGGGCTACACACCTAGCCTGTTGCTCCGAGGCTACAAACTTGTACAGCACGTTACTGTACCGAATACTATAGCAATTATAACAATACTATTTGTGTACCTAAACACAGAAAAGGTACAGTAAAAATACATTATAATCTTACAGAACGACCTTCAAAGTATGGCACATCATTCACGGAAATTTTCTTACTCTGCATGTGACTGTTATATATAAGTAATCTGGCTACTTCACTGAAAAATATATCTTCATTTATAGGTAGGACTTTCATGAGGATCACATGATATTTGGGAGTGTCATAGAAGGAGTAAAAGTATTAATATCTTGTTCTAGAGGACAGAATTAAGACTAATTAGGCAAAGTTACAAGAACTATGATTTCAGGTGATTATAAAAAAATAACTTTGTAATAACCAGAACTGTCCCTTAGACTTTAACAGAAGGCAATGAGTTTCTTTTCATTAGAAGTAGTCTAGCTGAGGTTTAATGTCTACTATATGAAGATTAACAACACTGGGTAATAACAAATCACAACTGCTAATCATTGCACATACAAGCCTCTCATTTGCCCAACTATTTGTTGCAAATAAGCCCCTTCTCTGTCTGAGAGCACGAATGCTCACAACTCTTTTGATTTAGATATGGACTCGAAGGTGGGGAGGACTGTTCTGAAAGTTAGAGAGACATAGTGAAGGGGCCTCATAAGTTTATACCAGTTCTGTAATTCTGTAATCTGAATTTAGGTTTTATGGACAAATCTCTGCAGTAATTAATCTTAGTCCTTTAAACTCTGAAAGACTATGATTAATTAGGACCTAGGATCTTAAAAGTTTTTAATACCTCAATCCTCCTAATCTACTTCCTCATGGAATTTTCAGGGCTCCAAAATGCTAATGACTCGCCTTAGGTAAAACCACTTTCATTACTGATACGTGGTTTAAAAAAAAAAGATGTAAGAGACATAGATCAGTATCTAATTTATGTTTTCATACTCAATTTAACTGGTTGTCCTCACCTGACCTATTCAGGCAGTGCTTCCTCTATATTTCTATGGCTCGTTGTACCACCAGATACTGAAAAGGTTTGTTTCCCACAAGACCATGAACCCACAGATGGTAAGAGCTATATTTTACTCACATGCATAACCTCAGTACTTCACACAACACTTAGCAGACAAACAGGTACCCAAAAGCCTCAATAAACCATTCCTGTACTGCTATAAAATCAATATTGATATTACCATGAAATTACTCAAAAAAAATTGACCTAATTAGTAATGTTTAACTGATATTTGCAAAACACAGCTGAAAAGAAGAAAGCATATAGTGCTTACTATCACTAAATATAAGAATCTCAGTTCACTAAGAAACTTTACACTTACTCTAAGATGATTAGTTTCCTATAACATTTCTAAATCACAAATTAAATGTTTTCACGAATTGCAATATTAGAAGGTATTTCTATTTGAAAGTTAAAATAGCTTGCTACTTTTACACTAAATATCAACTGTTGAATATATATTAACCTTTAAGGACATTCCTTAAATAAATGTTACTCCTAGAATAAATGTACTTTGCTAAAGACAGGTAATCAAGAAGAAATTCAGAAAGGGAAACACTTTAAAGAAAACAAAAGTATCCGTCACAAACTCAAATTAATAGCAGGGCATTAAAATAAATGAAAGGCACCATATTCACTCTGGAGATGCTTGTTATAATCATGTACTTGTTACTACAGGTTCAAAGAAAAAACATCTTTCTAAGAAGCCAGAAAAATAAATGGACATTGTCATAACACAATCCTTTTATTTGCTTTCAACTTGCATATGACTGTTTTGGTGGAAACTGTCCTGAATTCCTCTTTCACAATTTTAAGTATGTGTTTCCAAATTTAATTATTACTATCACACAGCTGCAAGAAATAATTTTGACAATATGACAAAATTTGTAAACAGAAAATACTTGTAAAATATAAAATAACTATCATCTATACTTGGTTAAGGTGCTTAAGATTATCATTACCATATCCAGTAAATGCATGTCACTGTTCTTCACGTTTCGACCTGGGCTTAATAACATTCCAAAACATCTGAAAATATTGGGGGAAAAAAGGAGAAATAAGGTATCAAGAACATATAGAAGCCCAGTGAGCAAAAAGCCTTTTTACAATAACTATACAATCTGAGCTCTGTATTTATAATAAGCTTTAGTTTTTTTCTAAGAACACTAGAAATAAGTATTTATGAAGATACACAATAAAATCACACAGAAATAAGTCATGTAAATTTCCAGATCTTTATTTGCACGTAAAAGATTACCAATGATAAGAAATTGCCATAAAAGTGGCCATAAATCGTTCATTGAAAGAAAATATGGTACAGAGAAACAAATTAGTTTCTAGGAAGATAAGAGATTTTATTTGCCTTAGACTTATTCCAAACATATAGGTCAAAATCCATTAACCCAGTTAAACCAAAAAGGAGGTTTTTAAAAATAAGAAGATGACACTATGCTCTCTTTGCATCAAACCAGATTTAAAAGAAAGCAAATTATTACCCTGGCCCTCCACAGTCATGTTCACTAAGTAGCATGTTAATACTATATCCTCCGTTTTAAAAAAAGGTTCTACAAATTTTATTACTAAATGTGCTGTTAGTGAAGGTATCATATCCAATATATTATTAATACACTGTTAACTATTTAATATTGTTCTGTGCTTCTTGATGCCAGAGAAGCTCTAGGAATCCCATCAACACTACCACTTTATTTGTAAAGGATTTGCATAAGCTCTAAAATTCAGCTAAATTGAAGATTTTTATGTTTGTTAGGCTACTATTAACTCCACTTTACATGTAAGCAAAGTGAAGTCCAGAGAAGTTAAGCAATTTACTCAAATTCATATTGCTATATTACAGGTCCCATAACTTGAGAAGCAATGTAATCTGTCCACAGGGTCCCTCTGCCAACAACGCATACCCACACACAAGAATGTTTTCATTGTAGCTTCCCAAAATTTCAAGATATGCTGTGTAATAATTTATAGAAAGGGTAAAAAATATAACTACATTAAACATAAGATTTTTTCAATTCAAAGTAGTGGCAGCTAACCACTCAGCTGTGATTCTGATCCTTGTTTTTCAAAGGTTTACTCTCCTAGTATCATGGCTAAGGCTTACATGAGCAAGATCACTGGTCCTGTCCAAATGTAAGCTTAGTAAGGAGTAAATATATACTTTCTACAAGTGCTTGAGGATGACTTGCTCAAGGCTTCCTTCTGGCCCCCAAAAATGATCAGGTACATAGCAAAGCTAAAGTTGGTAAGCTCTGAAGATAACTTTTCAAATACAGTGAACAAAAAATATAATCTACAAGAGAAATAATTATACTCTAGTATTCATAATTTCAACTATATACTGCTATGATCTCTCTCCTATGAATTCTTATAATAAACACTGTCTACACAAATTAAATGATAATTAATCATGCAATTCACTGTACTATTTCTTATACTACTGCCCTCAATTCTTACTAAGGAAGAATAAAAATTTAATTCTTTTTTAGAAATAAAATTTGGTCCCTCTAAAAAGTCAGGTCAGTGAGAACAGATTTATCTCACACATCCTTACATACTTTGCTTTAGCTTGCATCTCTAATTTTTTTTTGTTTTAAGAATAATGTTCTATATTATAGGCTTTAAATTACAAACCCATTATATAGTCACCATAATAAGTTAACAATTACCAAAGTATGTAAAGAAAAAATAAGTTCTCCCTTCTCTCAGCCTCCTTAGGAAACAATGCTAACAGTTTGGAATGTATACTCTCTTTCTTTCTGTTCTTTTTTAAAATTTAAAGGATTTTTTGTTTTTTAAGGCAGAAAAATATTTTTTTTAATTTTGATTTTTATAGGCATACAGATTACAAGTGTCGATTTCTTACATGTATACATTATGTAGTGTTAAAGTCTGTCTGGGCTTTTACAGTACCCATCACCCAAAGACTGAACATTGTAACCAACAGGTAATCTTTCAACCTTCACCCCCCTCTCCCACCCTCCTACCTTTTGTAATCTCTAATGGCTATAATAAAAGTTAAAGTTTAATGCCATTTTTTTCTCAAGCACTTCCAGGTGAATGATAAAACAGATGAAATCTCACATTTTCTTAGCATAATATCTCTATATTACATTGTACTGCAAAAGGAGCCTTAGAGGTTTGGATTTTTCTTAAGTAGCAATACTCATCACCTTATTTTGATAATCTTTAATGCACTAATCTTTTCCTGGCTTGTATTAAAAAAAAAAAAAAAAAAAAAAGGCCTGCCACCAACCAGCATGACCTTAGAGAAAGCACCTAATCCCCTGGGACTCAGCTCCCTCTTCTAGCAAACAGGAAAAGTGTAATACATGAACTTTAAGCACTTAAATTACATAATTATTTTCTGTCAAGCTGTATTAGTCATTTTCAAAATTACACTTCATTAAAGCACATCAGGATTCCTATGGAGGCCAGCAAGATCTATTAAGAATAATGTGTCAGAAATTAGATAGATATTATTAGTAACGCTAACACCTAATGGGAGTATTAAGTGTTTCACTGGGGAGTTCAAAGCATTCAACGGTCTCTTATTAACTCATAAGGTAAAAAGCAAACTGCTATCCCACCTATTTTCTAAAGGAGTTTACAGTACAGTGGGGGGAAAGTAAGTAAACAGGCAATTAGAATCTGATATTGTTAGTTCTAAAATACCTGTAAGTACACAATATTAACAAAGTATAGAAGAGACATCCAACATAATTTATAATATAGTGAATAGCTAGCAGATTTCACTCAAAAATTGAAATCAACCTCCTGAGAATGAGCTGATGATGATGCTATTATATCAATTATTATCATAGTAGTGGATATTATTTATTGAATGTCTTAACTTTAAGCCAGGCTCTACTATACTGTTGCATTTAAATTTCAAAGCAACCTTCACATGACAAATGATAAAACTGATTTTCAAAAAGAATGATTTTGCCCAAAGCCACATAGCTACTAAGTTATAGGACTGTGATTCATGCCCATGTCTATCACTACAAAACTATGTGGTCTTTTACATTTCAGCCTGCCAAGGGCTATCAGTAAAAGACTGTAAACTCCTTGAGTGACCCTGGGCAAATCACAAACCTCAAAGTCTCACTTTCCACATTTCTGAAGTACAAATACTTGTTTTCATGTTGATTACGTCAATGTAAGCTTGACATGAAAAAACTCATGGTAAAAGTGCACTGTAAGCTATAAAGCGGTTGATAATTATAAGTCATTATTATAATTACCATTATCATTAAGAAGAGAAAGCTTTGCCTTTCATAGTAGTACTTAGTGTTTACTCAAAATAGAACTTTAAGCAGCTTTTAACACCAAGTTAACCACCAGAACAAATACCAAAAATTCCATATCACTAATACACTTTAGACTTAATTGCAGGAAAAAGTGAGAAAAACAGATGTATTAATGTCCTGCAATATGAAACTAATTTTTTAAAAACTTTTACCTTTAGCTTATCAAATCATTAGGAATTATATATATCTCCATGAAGATAAAAATGGAAGGTAGGGAAGGAGAGAGAGAGGACAAGAACACTGTCTCTTGCTGTACTAAACTTTTATTATTAAAAATGAAAAAGTGACAGTGCCTGTACGTTGTGCACATGTACCCTAGAACTTAAAGTATAATTTAAAAACAAATATTAAAACTTAGATCATTACCCAACTAGTATAAATGTACTTGTATAAATCAAGGAGCAAAAATTGTATCTCACAAGAACTGAGAAACACTATTCTAGGAAGCATTGTTGCAGAGTAAGCAAGCAATAAACAGTTACTGTCCAAAAAAAAAAAAAAAAAGAAAATTAAGGGGAAAACAGAACTGCAAATAAGAAAATCTATAATGTAATCATAGTTTTTCAAAACTTTATGCAAAACACTAAAACTAAATAATTTCATAAAAGTTGGAATCTCAGTCAGTCTCCCCAAAGGGGCTAAAGCAGAAAGATAATTGGGCAAATATTCTATTGTGTCAATGAGACTGTTATTTCCCTTACTAAAAAGACTGAAGTAGAGAAAGATACACAGGCATTTGTCACTATGTATGGTGGTGTGGAACCATAAAAATAAACATATAAGCTAAAACTGTATATAAAATGATCATATTTTCAAAGGGAAAAATTATGATTCTTCAGTAACCCTTAAAAATTTTTGTCCAAACTTCAAAAACTCTCTTATTTTCAGTTATAAATATACAGGACAATTGTTAAAAAGTAAAACTATTATTTATTTAGCACTTTGTTGTTTGAAGCACAAAAATTAAAGTATTTTAATTAATTGAAAAAAACTTATCAAGAATATATTGAAGAGTGCTTGCTGCCTTCTCATACAATTTACAATACAAAGTATCTTTTCTATCTTGGCAAGTTGTCATATTCCTTTCTAAGTTTGGATTAGCTTCCAAACTTTATCCTTTGCATGTTCAATGTTGTGAAATAGCTCCGAGAGTTCCTTTAATGTGAAAAATTCGCCAGAGTCATTTCCCCTGGAACATTCATCCTTTTCATCACAACCACTTTCCTTATTTACGCTGATAAGTTCATCTTCACAAAGCTCTTCTGGCTGCATATGTAGAGTCCACTGAATAGCAACAGTGTCAACACTCCCACAGACAGCTATTTCTTCTACATCTCCCTACATGTCCTATTCAGATCCTGCAAACGTACTTCTATAGCGAAGTAAAAGTTTTGCTATACTACAGACATAATATTCATTGTTGCTCCCTGAAATGATGCCTTCAACTGCATGCTTTATGTCATATTTCTCCCAAAATTGAGATAAAGAAATTGCATAATTTCCAGTCTCTTTATGATTACTATTTCCTTTTGATGTGGCATCTAACTTCAATATTTTGGCTGACATGCTAGCAAAACTGATTGGAATTTTTGTGTATTACAGTCTTCAATCCAAAGCAGAAGTATATGCTCCAGTTAAACTATAAGCAGCTTTCTGTTCCTAGTGAAACTTAAACTAAACGATGTTGGAGTGATTTTATCATTT